TGCTTCATAACAAAGAAACGCAGACACTTTAGTAGGTCATTTTGCTTTATCATGTTGTATGTCAGGAAAATCCAACCCTTTTGAGGCAACATCAGTTGCCACTTGCCACCAACACATCCTTCTTCCCTGCTTTGAACGATGAAATCGCATACTCCCTCTCTTCTTGGTCCCTCCATGAATAGAAACAGCTTCCACTCCTTGCAGTAGCATGTGTTCATATATGTTATCCACATCAGCTTTATTCTCACAGAATATTAAAACCGGAGGGGGCGTTTTCTTTAAACGGTCAGGAAGGTAATTCAACTTTGCCTCCTGCTTCACATACTCTACTTCCTGGACAACATCTAAGTTAGCCGCTCCAGCTCTTCCCACATTCACTGTTATGGGTTTAACCAAAGCACTTCTCGCAAAGTTTTCGATCTTTATAGGCATTGTGGCGGAAAAAAGTAGAGTTTGCCTTTGGAATTTGAAATGATTGAAAACTTCCCTGATGTCATCTTCAAAACCGATGTCTACTAATCTGTCTGCTTCGCCTAGTGTTAAATATCTGCATATGAGACAAGCATGGAGGTAAGCAAGTGAAGGTCCAAACTCACAGGAAGTCACAGATACAACATTTGTATGACAAAATTGGTGCAGATTTTTTAGGTTTCCAGCTTAGGAGTAGTTCGTTAATGCCGTGAAAAAAGAAGAAAGGCATTTTTTAGGCACACTGAAGGCATTAAAGGAAATTCAAAACAATTTAAACTACAATGATGAATAAATGAAGTGAGTAATCTATCGATGAAACTAGACATTCGAACAAAGGCTCATGTTTCTGAATTAGGTAATTAATTAATTGAAAGTTTAGACAAAAAGCTTACTGACATTAACAGTTACTCTGGACGCACTTAATTGTCGTAATAATTAATACCGAAAATGTAATATGTTGTTGCCAAAGATGAATTTCTAATTAATAAATTTATGGGTTAATTCCTTCATCATAGCTTCCAAAAGGTTTCATGCAACACTAATCCTACAACAGAAGCAGCAAGGAATTCTTACCTGCAATTCTCAAGGCACATTTTCTCTTTAGCAAGCATATCTTTAAGTCTTCCAGGTGTAGCAACTTCACCACATCTAGCTGGGACTTGATGTCAATTCCACCAATACATAATAGAGGTCTAATCTCAGGGTACCCAGCCTCCCTTAGAGGCTCTAGAAACTCTTCTATAACTTCATATGTTTGTTGTGCTAGCTCTCTAGAAGGACAAATGATTAATCCAAACGGCCCTTCTCCAGGCAGAATAGGCATCATTATCTCCTCCTGTAGGGCCAGCATGAATAATGTGCCACTTTTTACGAATGGTGTCATGGGCTCTTTTTCGCATCCTTCTGATGCCTAATGGAGGCTTCCTATCCGAGAGATGCTCAATCATTTCTTTCTCTTGTTGAACCATTTGCTCAGCCACACTCACCTCTAGAATTTCCTTCTTCACAAGCAAACTTGGTTTTTCCTCAAATTGTTTTGTCTTTTCAGCTTCAACTTTGTGAAGATATTTGTATATACGTGTAGTTAGTCATTTAGTTGTTATAACTACAGTTAGTTACAACGACATGATAAACTTTGACTAGTGGAAGAATAGTTGACTAACTATTGTATAAATACACTTTGAAAGCTTAATAAAAGTTAGTTCGGTTTTCTTATCTCTTTCTTCTTCTCGAAGTTCCACATGGTATCAGAGCTACCAAACAACCAAATCCGCCATTAATACACCTTCGAAAACTTCGAAGATCTTCAATATGCCAGACAGCTCGACGGTGAATCAATCCTTTACAGCGAACTCTACTGGTTCGTATAAGGATCCGCTCTACCTAGCGCCTGGAGATCATTCGAACTTGAAGATCACTGATGAAATATTCAACGGGAACAACTACTTGAACTGGTCCAGAGGAGTAAAGATGGCTCTAATTTCCAAAAATAAACTCGGATTTGTCACAGGAAAACTGAAGAAACCTAGAGAAGAAGATGATCAATTCCAGGATTGGCTCAGAGTCGATTACACTGTTATGAGCTGGATTTTACATTCTCTAATGCCTGCGATTGCCAGAACGATGATGTATGTGACATCATCTAATCAACTTTGGGAAGAAATAAACGAGAGGTATAGCCAAACGAACGCACCGTATTTGTATCAATTGAAAAAGGATCTTACTAAGGTTGTACAAGAGGGACAATCACTAGCTGACTACTTTGGAAGACTCAGATCTATCTGGGAGGATATTCAAACACTTGATAGCCTTCCGATGTGTGAATGTGGAGCCTTAAAGTCATGCACCTGTAATCTGCTGAAGAAAATCATAGAGAAAGAAAATCGGAACAGGTTAATGGAATTTCTGATAGGATTGGACAATCATTATGAGTCTATCCGAAATCATGTGTTGACAATTGATCCTCTTCCTACTGTGAATCAAGCGTTCTTCAGAATCCAGCAAATTGAGACACAAAAGTCAATAACAGGAAACTATGCAGATATCTCAGGAGGAATGGCTATGGCAGCAAACAAATACAGCAAGATTTCTGATACTCAAAACAAAATTGAAGAGAACAAACCTATGTCTAAAGCAGAATACCAAAAAATGAAGCTGGAGAAACAATCTTTGGTTTGTACTCACTGCAACAAGGTTGGACACATCATGAAGGACTGTTTTGAGATAAAAGGTTATCCTGACTGGTACAAAGGAAATAAAGGAAAGAACAATGCACAAAAATCAGGAAATAACAAAAGATTTGCTGGGAGTGCTGATTATAAGGCTGAAGAGATTGAGACACCTTTTGATTCAGATGAAGGAAAACAGTTCAAGATTCTGAAACAGTTAGATCCTCAAGTCATTCAAGCTTATCTTGCTCAGAGATCAAAGGATTACTCTCATCAAGGCAACAATTCAAATGACTTCAGCTCATCATCTTCAAATGCCTTCAACATGTCAGGTATGACTTATGTCTCTTGTGTGGATTTAGAAGCAAGAAAACATGAATCACACATTTGGATAATAGACACTGGAGCAACAGATCATATGACACATGATTTGAAGATATTGGAAAATAAAACATACCTGATTGAGCCCAGCAAAATTGTTCTTCCAGATGGTAGTGTAAAGAAGGTAACATTAATTGGTGATGTTAACATTTCTCAAGAAATCAGCTTGAAACGAGTGATGTATGTACCTGGTTTTCAACATAACTTGATGTCAGTAGGGAAATTATTGAAAGACACTAAAATGATAGTGAATTTCAATAATCATGGATGCTATATACAGGACCCTTCAACTGAGAAGAAGATGGACCTGGGAAGGAAGAAGAATGGTCTCTACCTATTTGAAGCAAATAAAGGCATCAGTGAAGTCAATTCATCCGGTTTCAAGGAGAATAAAGCAAGATGTTTAGCAAATAAATCATGTAAAGCTTCTAATACTTTACTATTGATGCATAACAGACTTGGTCATACTTCTTTGTCAAAATTACAGCATGTTGGTTTTGGAAATAATGAAGATAGTTTGTTTTGTGAAGTCTGCATTATGGCAAAACATCACAAATTACCTTTTGAAAGGAGTGATTCAATAGCTTCTGAAATATTTGAAATGGTTCATGTTGATATGTGGGACCATACAAACTGAAATCAATGACTGGAGCATCATATTTCCTAACCATACTAGATGACAATAGTAGAAATACTTGGACTTATCTAATAAGAGATAAGACTGAAGTTTCCAACATCATTCATAATTTCATTGCTTATGTGGAAACACAATTTCAGAAAAGAATCAAAGTAATCAGGTCTGATAATGGAACTGAAATAGTTCAATCAAATTGCACAAGAATTTTCTGTGAAAAAGGGATAATTCATCAAAGAAGTATCCCTGGAAATCCACAGCAAAATGGGAGAGTTGAGAGGAAACACAGACATCTCTTAGAAACAGCAAGAGCTCTAAGGATTCAAGCAAATCTACCTAAAAAGTTCTGGGGAGAATGCCTACTTACTGCCACACATTTGATTAATCTAATGCCTTCATCAGTTCTCAAGTGGAAAACTCCTTATGAAATATTATTTCAAAGGAAACCAGATTATGACATGTTAAAGGTATTTGGCTGCCTTTGCTTTGCTGCTATAAAGGATGCAGATAAACTCTCTCCAAGAGCTTTTAAAGGTATCATGGTTGGATATCCTTTTGGTCAAAAAGGATACAAAATTTATGATCTTGAGTCAAAAAGGATACTGATGAGCAGAGATGTTATCTTTAAGGAAGATGTTTTTCCTTTCAAAGAAGATCAAACTCAAAACACACCTAATAACATCTCCATCAATCCTTCTGGACTACTCATGAATGTTCCTCTTGATAACTCTTCCGCAGACACTCCAACCATAAATCAAAATGATTCATTTCAAAATGAACATCAATTTGAAAATTCTGGAATACCTGAATCTGATGATACAGAGATATCCATACATACAAGAAGATCCACAAGATCCAGAACTATGCCTCACAGATTACAAGATTATGTCTGCAAAGATCTTCCGAAGTCACTGATTTCTTCTGCAACAACAAGCATGGATAATGACACATACCTTGCAAATATGATCTGCTCCTCTTTGCAGAACTTCACATCAGAATATGTAGCTTCATTAGCTAATGTACTTTCAATTCATGAACCTGCTTCCTATGCACAAGCCAAGAAAGATGAAAGATGGGTCAAAGCAATGGAACAAGAAATTGAAGCACTTGAAAAAAACCAAACTTGGGAATTAACTTCATTACCAGAAGGGAAAAAGGCCATTGGAGCTAAATGGGTATATAAAATCAAGTTTAAACCAGATGGGACAGTTGAACGCTTCAAGGCCAGATTGGTAGCTAAAGGTTACAATCAAATCAAAGGGAAAGATTTTAAACACACCTTCAGTCCAGTAGCAAAATTCACTACAGTTAGAGCACTAATTGCTTTAGCTGCAGCTAAAGGATGGATGATACAACAATTAGACATAAACAATGCCTTTTTACATGGATTTATTGATGAAGAAGTGTACATGCAAGTTCCAGATGGGTACTCCAATGCTCAGACAGGACAAGTATGCAAACTCAAAAGATCATTGTATGGCCTAAAGCAAGCATCTAGACAATGGAATCTTGAGCTCACAAAATTTCTACTCAAATTGGGGTTTCAGCAGTCCAAACAAGATTACTCATTGTTTATCAAATTAGAATCAGAAACATTCACAGCATTACTTGCATATGTGGATGATTTGCTGATCATTGGAAACTCAAAAGAAAGCATTGAACATACAAAGGATGCATTAGATAAGGCATTTACCATTAAAGATCTTGGTTCACTCCGATATTTCTTGGGAATAGAGGTAGCAAGAAATGACCAAGGCATTATTCTCAATCAGAGAAAATATATCCTAGACATATTACATGATATCAAAATGATTGATTGTAAACCTGCACAATTCCCTATGCCTACTGGACTAAGACTGTCTGCTGACAAAAGTGAAAAACTTCAGGAACCTGAGCAATATAGAAGATTAATTGGGAGATTTCTATATCTGAACTTAACAAGACCAGACATATCTTACACTGTACAACAGCTAAGTCAGTTTATGAGTGAGCCAAGGATAAGCCATATGCAAGCTGCTTTGTTTCTTGCAAGATATCTGAAAAATACCATCAACCTTGGTCTCTTCTATCCAGCTCAAACATCACTTGAGTTATCTGCCTTTTGTGATGCTGATTGGGGATCATGTTTCATGACAGGAAGATCCTTGTCTGGCTATTGTATCTTCTTGGGAAGGTCACTCATTTCCTGGAAAACAAAGAAACAAAAGACTGTTAGCAAATCAACTGCAGAATCAGAATATAGAAGTATGAGCTACACTGCAGCTGGGATTGTTTGGCTTGATGGATTACTTATGGAATTACAACATGAGATTCCAAAACCCATCTTATTATATTGTGATAATATGGCTGCTCAACATATAGTCCAGAATCCTGTATTTCATGACAAAACAAAACATCTTCGGATTGATTGTCATTATGTACGGGAAAGATTTCAAGAAGGCCTTTTGGAACCCAGATATATATCATCTGGCTCACAACCTGCAGACATTTTTACAAAGGCATTAGGAGCAAAACATCATCAGTCTTTTATCTCCAAGTTGGGACTTGTTGCACCAACCAAAGTCCAACTTGAGGAGGGGATGTGAAGATATTTGTATATAC